TCCACATACGAACGTGTGCCGAGTGACGTCATGTTTTGAATCCGCGCGAATCCGGTCTGACGTCCGCAAACGACACCAGAGGCCGACCAAGTCCTTCGCTCCAAGTTAGTGAAATACTCTTACCATTTCTTCCTGAATAAGTTCACCGGCGATTATTTATCATTATCAGTTTTTTAAATTATTTAAAGTGGATGGAAGTGTTAAGAAAAAAAGCTTTTATATGTTTGTGAGATTGAGATCAGGTGTTTTCCTTGAAGAAATGTATCTTTTTTTTCTAGACTAAGTTCTTGAGATTTTACTTGAGTTTTTCCTAGTTAGGTGTTGGTTTCAAGGGAATAATTAGACATAGACACGTTGGTTGTCATTTATTTCTCGTTTGGTTTAGCTCTTTCTATCTCTTATTTAACTGGCAGTCGCGCGTCTTTTATATAATACCGCAGATTGGCTGTAGTTTGTGTCTGTGCTCAGGTTTATTATCTTTTTCTGGTCAGTATATAGTCTAAGGTAGTGGCAGAGTTGGGTAATAAAGCCTACATGAAATGATAGAACAATACAAACCAAAGACAAAGTTCTTCTATGGCAATATGTGTGCAAATGCTTCCCAAGGCTGCTATATGTAAATGAAAAGGGAAGATCCCTCGGTCAATATGCATAAGAGGTTATTGGGTTACTTTTGAAATAATTTTGATATTTTTCTGCACAAAATCCACTGCTTTCAATGATTCTAGGCATTGTTCTTTATGCAAATGAATCATTGAGGAGATATGACTGATCACTATCTCCATCGACAATCTTGATTTGATAGTCCTAATAGCAGGGGAGGGCATGAATTATTTCAGGGAAATCATGGGGTAAAACAGGACCCCGTGTTTGTTAAACAAAACGTCCTAATCCAACATCCAACCTAACCTAACACCATGGTACATATTCCCTAGCCAGGGGGCTCTACCTCTTAGACCCCCATAGTGATAATTACGCCTGGACCCCCGTGGTAGTATATGCGTCTAGAATTCACCCTCGCAACGTAAACAAGATGAGCGACTTAGCCAAAATTGGGGGATCTTCTCTTTTCTTTTACGTATAGCACCCTTGGGAAGCATTTGCACACATATTGCCCTAGAATAACTTTATCTTGGTTTGTATTGTTCTATCATTTTATGTAAGCTTTATTACCCAACTCTGCCACTACCTTAGACTACATATTGTCCCAATTTGATTATCTTTCTGCATGAAATCCACTGCTTTCAATGGTTCTAGGCACTGTTCCTTGTGCAAATGAATTGTTGAGGAGATATGATCACCATCGCCATCGACAATCTTGATTTGATAGTCCCGATAGCAGGGGAGGGCATGAAGTATATCAGGGAAATTATGGGGTAAAACAGGACCCCCGTGGTTGTTAAACCATGGAAACTGCTGCGCATGCACAATAACTAGTCCGTGCAGCTAACTGCGCTCTTTTGCAAATTGACCGCACAAATTTTATTGTTTGTCAAGTGGCCACGCAAAAGGACCAAAACCACTCTATCGTCTTGATATGTCAGATGACCTATTTTCTCCTAAATTAAGTGTTCGCAGTGAAATAGCGGTGGGCACAGGAAATAGTATGAAACTGTATACGCCTAGCCAGGGAGCTATACCCCCTGGACCCCATGGTAGTATATGCGTCTAGAATTCACCCTCACAATGTAAACAAGATGAGCTACTTAGCCAAAATTGGGGATCTTCTCTTTTCTTTTACGTATAGCACCCTTGGGAAGCATTTGCACACATATTGCCCTAGAATAACTTTATCTTGGTTTGTATTGTTCTATCATTTCATGTAGGTTTTATTACCCAACTCTGCCACTACCTTATACTACATATTGTCCCTTTTTCTTATTATTACACTTATAATATCCAGGTACTACAAATATTTTTTTAATGGCTAATGTTACCGTGCGATAGAGATTGCTGGCCCATCCTTTTATTTTTATTGAGCAGCAGCAAAGCTTCGAAGGTCCAAGAGATAGAGATAGAGGGGCTTTTGCTGGTGTTATTTCCAGAGATTTACCGAGTGAGGCAAGGCTGAATCCTTGCAGCAACACTTTTCAACACCTGCATGGACTGGATAATGACCAGAGCTACTACAAAATGTCATTGTAGAGCAACACAGGGGAATATCAAGGTCTCAGGCCTTGACTTTGCCAGTGATGTTGCTATCCCATCTAAGTCCCTGCAGCACTGGTGGCAGCTCTTGATGCATTTAGCAATGAGGCAAAGCCCTTGGGTCTAGAGGTCTCCTGGACCAAGACCAAGATTCAGGACTTTGGGGCCTGTTACAGGAACCTGTTTAGTCAGTACATGCTTGTGGTGAGGACATTGAAGTCACAGAGAGTTTTGCATACCTTGGTAGAGCAGTCCATATCTCTGGGCTGTCAGACCAGGAAGTCAGTAGACGGATTGGTTTGGCAGCAGGAGCCATGAACAAGAGCATTTGGAGATATCGGTATCTATGCAGAAGAACCAAGTTACATGTCTTCAAGGCCTTGATACTGCCAGTTTTGCTCTATGGAAGTGACGCTATCTAGCACCTTGGAGTCTTGTCTTGATGCCTTTTGTAACAAGTCTCTTCGCCAGATCATAGGGTACATGTGTCTAACCGATGGCTACACTGTGAGACTGGCATGGGTCCTGTTACTTGCATAATCTGGGATTGCCAACTCAGGCTATATGGGTACCTAGCTTGTTTCCTTCTGGATGACCCTGCCCATCTGGTTGTCTCTTTACAAGACAATTCTGGGTGGAGGAGGCCTGTGGGACAGCCTAGGAGGTCATTGCTTGGGCAACTCAGTGAGACCTACCACGAGGAGTTAAAGATGTGCCGAGGGCCAGCCTGGAGACTCGCCTATGAGGGACCCTTGTGGCTGGAAGCGAAGAGTGGATGCGGCCATGTGCCTTCGTATACGTTAGCCCCTTGATGATGATGGTGATAGACAGTTTGGTAATATTACAAGGTATATAGTTTTTGGGTTTCAAAGAAAATGTTTTTTTATGAGTTTATTTTCTGACCATTTGAACATTGCAGTAAGAAACATCATATTGAGTATAAATTTGGATTGTATATGCCATAATTATAGGATTTTTTTCAGATATGATATACAAAAAAGGGAGAAAGAAAGAGGTTAAGTGTAGTTTTTAGAATGGTTTGGCTTCTATCTTTTTCATTTGCTGTTTTTGTTATTGTAAACAACATATGTAGAATATGTGTGTTGTAAATGTATTAAATTTTGCCATATTATTTCCATTGATAAAATTTACACTATCATCTTACAAGCTGGTAAATTCACAAACTTTGCAAGGGAAAGCCAGATTTTTTCCCAGGGAGTTAAGGTAATTACCCTGAATAAAACTGTATGAAGGGACACCTTATCTTCTGTGCTTTAGAAAAGCCAACAAATCTGCTTGGAAAATAAAGTAGGAAAAACATTTTCAACCGATCCCCAGAAACTTTTGGATCTCATTAAGAAGGAATTTGTCATTCTTGGTAATAAAGACACTTTGTAAAGGTCATATTCATCGCAAAGTGATTGATGGATAAGATAAATAATAAATACTTTAGAGTTCCACATATTTTTGAAGAATATATATGATTTATTTGGAGAATAGATGGTTAAACCAGTGGTTCTGGGTAATCACACTGTCTACTGTCATTTTCTTTTGTGAATTTTATTTATGCATAGCTAACTTAACAGGTCAGCCATCTTGCAGTCAATTAGTAAGCTACATGTCCTCACCTTAACTGATATTATTATGACATGATAATGCTATTAACAATACTAAATGCAATAAAGAATTAAAACGAACCTCATAAAAATATTAAGGAAAAGAGTAAATAGGTGATCAGTTACTTTGTGTTACTCTGTCTCTGTGTATTCTTACGATCTCTGGCAACTTTGGGTTAATGATTATAACAGATATTTCATAGTCTCAGAAAATTTGTTTATTTGTAGTAAATTGTAAGTAATCATAATAAATGATCCTACACTCTGCTATACTTGAATTATATAGATTTTCTCCACTTTGCCCATGGGAATCATTCTGTGTAGTTTAAGGAAGATATTTCTATGGTAAGGTATTTCCCTGTAATGCAGCAGAACAGCTTAACATTGTAAAGATATATTAGAGAATGACACTAATATTCATAGAATGTTGAGCTAGTTAATGGACTTGCCATACCTGCAGTGAATTTAGTTTATTAATTGTATTTACACATAGATGGCTCCACAATTGCTCAGTCACCTATGAGTTGGTCACTAGTCAGAACCATCTCATCTGTTTACACTTTTCCTTGACTTTCAGATATATTTTATTTTTAGTTTATATTGCTATTAGTATTGTCATAACATTGTAATAATCAGAATGTCAATAATAATAATGATTACAACATTGACATTAAAAGCATTAGAAAAAATTAAACTCCTAATAACTTAAGGAAGGGGAAAATTAGGTGAGAGCACACAAACTATTAATTGACTCCTTGGTGGATGAGCATTTATGGAACCATCTATGTGTAGCCATCTCTATAAAGATACACAAAACAATATTACAGTGAACATGATACTGCCCTGGTGGCATTGGGTTAAACTGAATACAGGGTTTCATTCAGCCAGGCTAGCTGCTCACTGAACAGCCAAAGTGGAGTTTGTTGAACAGTATTGCTTCACGTAACTGCCTTGTTTGCTCACCAAACTGAACAACAAGCAGATTTTTTTTACTACTTATTCAAAGAGCATGACCTCAGTACATATGCATACATACTAATATATATACATACATACTGATATATGTATAAACATACATACATACATACCAATGTGTATGTATACATAGGCACATATCAATATATATATACCCATATGTATGCATATATACATACATATGTAGTAGGTATATAGGTATGTATGTTGTATATATTGATATGTGCCTATGTATGTATACACATTGGTATGTATGTATGTTTATACATATATTGGAATGTATATATATATATATATATATATATATATATATATATATATATATATATATATATATATATATACACATACACACACACACATACATACATACACACACATATAAAAAAAAAATATATATATATATATATATACATATATTTTTTTTTACTTCTTGCTCAAAGAGCATGACCTCAATAAATATGCATGCATACTAATATATATATATATATATATATATATATATATATATAATATATATATATATACATATACATATACATATACATATACACACACACACACACACATACATACATACATACATACATACATATACATCTCACAGGTTATTTTGTTTTAAATATATATTTTTTTCCTTTTACAGCAATGATCCCCATACACTGTTTAGGGAGATGTCCCCTATGGAGACCAGTAATGAAGCTTAACATCCCAGAACTTTCTTCAAGACCTCAATCATATAAAGGAGTGCGTGGTATGTATATCAATGATGCCTAAATAAGAGCTTTATTTTTTATCTCTCTTAACAAACTAATTTGTCTTTTATGCTTTATACATGTCAGTTTTGAAAGGTTATATCCAGGAAAAGGATAATTTTCGCAATCTATTATTTCTAAGCATGATTCATAATTATACAGTAACTTGATGATAAGCAATTATATGTTTGTTTAATAAGAATATTTGAGATTTTTTCTGATAAAGTGCCATTGGGCTTTGTTTACACTCAATATAGAAACACTATATATTAGAGAGATCATGCTGTCAATTAGTAGATCTAGTGACCTTTCCTGATTTCATCTTGTGTTGAGTTTTAGGAAAGATGTTTTTCTTACTAGTGCTCTCAGTATCAATGTTGTTATTGTTATTATAAACAATAATTATTAAAATATTATTTACATTACTAACTGCAATATAAGATACTGGAAAATAGTTCCTAAAATCAATGATAAGGGTAAACAGATGAGTTGGGTAGTACTGGTAATTAGCTCATTGGTAACTTAGTGTTTGTGGAGTCATCTATGTGAAAAGACAATAAACTAAATTCACAGTGGGCATGGCAAGTACTTACATGCCATCCCTGGGGGCAATGGGTTAAAGTAGAGTCCTCTTCAAGCACTAGTTCTTAAACTAAAAACAGTGGCAAGTAGTGTTGTAGTAAATGAGTATGTAATTACATATAGAGTTCTTGTACCATTTTCTACAATGTATTTTTGCAAGTGTAGTTTCTCCACCATTCTTTACATACAAACTAAGCCAGCTGTATGTGTACCTATTGATTATTATTACAATATCAGTGCTTCAACCTCAGAGCAGTTGGCTGACTGAAATTGGACAGTGGCCTCCTTCTTTTGTGATGTAATGAAGTATGGTAATTAGTATTTGCAAGCATTAGAATAAAAAAGGTACAAAAAAAAATCCTTATTTATGAGGGGCTTGAGAGAGAACTGAAGGGGCCCCAGAGGAAGTTAGAATCCCGAAGGTGGGGGGAAAAAAATAAAAAAAAAGTTTTATAATTTTTTTTTTCCCTTCCTTCCTTCAAGTTAGTGTAAGTGTACTAATTCTTAGTCCTTCCTGTAAAGGTGTGAATGCCTAAGGTGTCTAAAACTTTTGACCTGCAATTGTATGCAAATTTCTTTTGGCATTTTTGTTGGGAAATTGTCGTAAGATACTGAGAAATTTGGTTTTGTTCTTGTTAGGTGTTGTAATTTGTGTAAAGATATTCTAGCCTAAGTAGTCTACAGTTACACTCAAAATTTTAATGTTTTCAGAATTCATGATGTAAATTTCCTTGTGTTTAAGTATGACCAGTGTTTTATTTAAACCCATTATTCATAGTTCCCCCACAAAATAAAGTATTTCTTGTCTGTCTTTTATAGAGTCCCTATACACACACACACACACACACACACACACACACACACACACACACACACACACACACACACACACACACACACACACACACACATACACACACACATATATATAAACAAATACTTTTTGTTTTATGTGATTGCAATTGTTTTTTTCTTTTCTTTACAGTATTAGTGCCTAGGTTTCTTCAAACATCTGCAAACTGGAGGTTCAAAGAAGACAATAAAACTGCCTTGGCTGTGTTGGATAATGTCAAGCAGGTATAGCAGATGGTTAATGGTTAATAGTTGAACAGATAAATGCATGACATCAAAGGTCATATAGCACTGCTAAAGTATAGTAGCAAAAAGAGTTAGAAATGAGTTGATGATTCAGGTAAGTTAGAGGGTAGGATGGTAGTGAAAGGGTAAAGGGGGGAACTGATGGGGTTTAGTATAGGATAAAGGTTGTTAAAAGGGGAAGGAGTTAAGGGAGCTGGGCAGTTAGATCAAATGGAGGATATTTATGCATCTTAGGAAGGAGGGTAAGTTGTCTAAGGAGAAGGTAGGGGATTCCGAGAGGATGCCCAATAGGCTGGGGGTCAGGGAGGTACTAATAAGTGAGGAAAAGCAGAGGTACTGAAAGAGGAACATTGCATGAGGAGCATAGAAGTGGATTAAGTGGTGACAAGATATGAAAGTGTGAGGCAGATTATGTCCAATGCATAAGTGGGCAAGAGCAGTTTCCCAGGGTCAATTCTCTTGGAATAGTATTGACCAAGAAGAGATGAAAGGTTTTATGTTATGTAGTTTATTAGTGGAGGTATAGCAGATTTGAATTTAGTTTTCTTATTTTGTGTTTTTTTGTGTGGATGTGTTGTGCTTGTGTGAATGCTCATATTCAGCATGTCATTGATGTATTGATTTTTGTTATACAAGAATTATTGTAATTTGTTTATATATCCATATTTTGCTGCTAATATTTCTTTTCCAAAATTAGAATTCCAAGGAAAACAACAAAGACACATGGTTCTTAATTTTGTTTTTCCTTTTGATTTTCTTTTGGGTACAGTAGTTATATATTTTGCCTCTTCTTTCCAACAGGTACGATATTCTCCAACCCCAGCTCTGGTCCTTGGTTTTTCAGGTTTGATACCCTTTGTTGCAGCCCCCCTTTACATAGCATCCTCAGGAGTTTTCATGCCTGAAGTGGCTGAGGCACAGTTGTTCTATGGGGCTTCCATCCTTTCCTTCCTAGGCGGTGTGCGGTGGGGACTGACCCTCCCCGAGGAGAGTGCACAGCCCCCAGATTGGTATAACTTAAGCTACAGTGTCACCCCATCACTCATAGCTGTGTCAGGACTTCTGATGCCACAGACCATGGGGATATTGACAATTATTGGTGGCCTGGGGTTTGCTGGGTACATGGACCTTGCCATGTGGGGTTACCCGACCTGGTTCAAAGGACTAAGGTTCTGCCTGACCTTTGTAGCAGTGCTCTCTCTTTGGTCAAGTTTGATGTTCAAATTTGTGCTGGATGAGGCCAACGCCAAGACTAAAGAAGATAGTAAAGTAGATAGCAATGTATCTTAGATGATTATATAGGAAGTGCTTATTCATAGAAAAAATGAAAATGTATAAATATGTATGTATAAATATGTATATTCTGTACAGCTGGTATATTTCATTAATCCTTGTATGATTTGGTAAAGAGCAAACTAATTATCATTCTAAACTGAGGCATTTATTTGTAAATATTTATTATTTACATTTATAAGTGTTAAGTTTTTTATAATTAAACAGAAAGGGAAAATGGCAATATCTCAATATTTAGAACCCAAACCTAGTCTCAAAAATGCCATTTAACCTCTATCAGTGCACTCCAGTATTATTTTGAGACAGACAAACAGACAAATAGTGGACTAGTGCTTAATAAAGGCTTTATAAAAGGAGTGATACTCTTTATGTACAATAAGATATGCAGTAACAGTTGTTCCTGATTAGAATCCAGTTTTTTTCACCATAATACCGATTCGTAACATATAAAGCAATTGTACTTATCTCTCCATTTTGTTAAGAGGTATATAAATAAAACAACAGTCTAAATCATATTTGTATTAGCAACATTACATTTTGCAACACATAATACCTTTTCCACATACATTCTTGCTTCACTCAACAATAATTTGATTTGAACAATATTTATATAATTATATACAGATAAAGAAAAAGAAAATGTTTGAAGACTTGGAAAGATTTGATATTAATCACTTTGACAGTAATAAAAGAGAAGCCATAACTATAATTAGCTGTTCTTATACCCTAAATCTGAATTATTAAACATACATTTCAGAGACTGAACAACTTTACAAGAATTTCATTTCTACTCTGTTAAAGAACAGAGATTCCAACAAGAGCAGGCACTCAAATAAGACACTAATTTCTGCTTTAGTCAGTCAAATAAAAGCTTATATTCACATTCCTGTGAATTTGTAAAAGCAACCTTCATTCAAGCATACATTCATTTTATAAATGTAAACGATTATCAAATTGTAAATTATCTGAGATGGCCTGTTTTTATATTTGCATACCAATCTTCATTTTGTCACAGTGGGACAAAGCTGAGACAAATTTCAGAGAGGTATTGCATTAATTTCTTGACACAGAGGCTAATGTTACAGCCATTCAGGTACATCTTTGGGCGATGTATAACAAACATCTTTTTATTAGCAATCCGGGAGAGGGGAGGGGGGGAATGTTTCTCTAAAGCCATAAATAATTAAATTTCAAATGCATATTCCTAAGTGGCACAAAAAAAAATCATATATAAGAATATTAACTATATCATAACTTCCTTTATAATAAAAAATATTTGGTTGTCACAAAAAAAAAAAAGGAAAGAAAAAAGAAAAACTAAACTTGGGCACCCTTTCTCCGCCCAAAGAACTTAAATACAGAACCTTTCTTCTCCTTCTCTTTCTTATTGGCTGACACAGGGACATCACCCTCAGAGGAGCTTTCACTGAGGCCTTGTCTGTCAATGGTGGAGTAGCGATGGGAAGGCGTGGGTCCGCTACCAGGTGGGATAGAGGCACCAGGAGGGAGACTGCTACCCTGGGGTAGAGACAT